TTCTTCCCATTTGCTTTGGAAGGGAAAATTATGCTTTGTTACTCTAAAATCATTTTGCTGCAAGATTTCTGTGAATATTCAGAAATCTATAATATAAATATTACATACAATATCCTAGATGTAAAGATATATATCAGATTTTTTTATTAACTCATTTTCATGCTCTCTTTGTGTTCCTTCAATATACGGAAGAAATAACCTTTAGGAAGTTAGGCCAAGTTAGTATAAAAATAAGGAAGAGAAATTTGAAGAGGAGAGTGTTCTGAAATATAAGATGTACTTTTTAAATAAGCCAAATTTAGATTTATAAATCTGGAGATTCTTATTTATTTTGCCAAAAGATAAACCTCACATTTCTTTAAATATCTAGACCTTCTTATACATTTTAAAATTTTTACCTAATTATAAATATGCGACTAACTTTTTTGAAACTAGAATTAATATTCTTACCTTAAATATTTTTAGTTTTCTGGGGCTATAACTTTTAGGTGAAATTCTATCCTCTTTTCCTTACCCTTAATTGAAATTGAAAATCATTAGTTATCCTAAAATCTTACCTCACACTCTCAGACAGTGACCACATTATCTAATGCTTGGCTTAATTATTTGGTGAGACTGAGCCTGTGAGCAGCCAATGGAGCTGGTAGTAGGGATCAGCTATGGGAATCCAGATGTTTTAGGAATCATAAATGTTGGTTGTAATGAACTCAGTTGCCAAAACCACCTAAGAAAATCCCAGAAGCCAATTTACTTATTCTTTATTTACTTTTTTAAAAAATATATATTTTACTGATTTTTTACAGAGAGGAAGGGAGAGGGATAGAGAGTTAGAAACATCGATCAGCTACATCCTATACACCCCCCACTGAGGATGTGCCCACAACCAAGGTACATGCCCTTGACCGGAATTGAACCTGGAACCCTTGAGTCCGCAGGCTGACACTCTATCACTGAGCCAAATAGGTTAGGTCCAATTTACTTATTTTTTAAAGTCAGTGCAGAGTAGGTGACCAATGAGTTTTTTTCTCCTGGGTTGTCAAATCTTTGACTTTTCATCATTTTTTGAAATGTGCGTTCTAAACCCTCTAAACCCCCATCACATCTACAAGGTGTGTGAACTTATTGCATGTGTTTCCCAACAGAACTACTTGTCCCACGAGGAGCTCCTGATTGCGGTGGAAATGCTGTCTGCTGTTGCTTTACTCAACCAGGCCTTGGACAGCAAAGACCTTGTATCTGTGCAGAATCAACTTAGAAGCCCAGCAATAGGCCTCAACAATCTGGACGAGACGTATGTTGAACGGTAAGTTGTTTTCCGAAACACTTCTCAACACAGAAATGTATTATATGTTTGGCAGATCTCACAGATAAAGGGTTTGTTACTTATTGAAGAAATCCATATAGCCATGCTCATTTTCTTGAAAGTTGGTCTACTTTTTTTTAAGAATGTAATATTATAGTTCCGTGTGTACATTATTCCTTTTAGTGATGCAGAGGTCTAAAAATGGTGGCAATTGCTGACTGACTTTGTCATTAGCAAAGATTATTTGATAGGCTAAAAATGAAAGAAATGTTGAAAACATACCTTCCTTTGGGCTTCTTTAGGAAAAGACAATATGTAGAAAAGTGGGAAGAAACCTTAATAATCACCTGGTTCAATTCTCTTTATGTTACTGATGAGGAAACCAAAAATCTGGATTTATCAACCCAAAATTTGGCAATTGGGCCCCAAAACCTAATTTTTCTGGTTGTTAAACAAAAGGAATGCTGAGACCACAGGGGACCATGGCAGTGGGTAACAACCTCAGTTTAGTATTTTTCATTTCGTGTTCCTTAAATATAGTACTAGATAATACAATTGATAGTATTATAAACACTAGAGCGAATCCAGAGAGAAAATTAAGGGGATGGAATGAGCCCAATGAAAGATTCAGGCAGACAAAAGCCCAAATAAAAAAACAAGTGATTTTCCATCCTTGTGACCACCAGGGGGAGATGTCTGCTTAGATCTTGACAAAACTCTTGAGCTATTGTTTCTGAAACTGCTCAAATAGAAAGGTTGAGTAATTCTCCTGAGTCAATATAATTGTACAGGGGGGAAATTTTTTTAACTTGGTGTTTGACCACTTGTCAATGTAGAGAATGGCCCAAAAGTAGGACGACACTGGATTTCCTTGTTTTTAGTCTTTTTGGAGAAACTGGTGCTCTTACACTGCATAAATTTTGGCCCCCTGGTTCATTATGCCTTTCCAAGATAATTTATTTCTACAATTTCTACTGTTTCTGTTAATGACACCACCCTCGGCTCCAAGCTTAGAAACCTCAAGTTCAACTTGAGTTTTCCCCTGCCCTCTGCCAGGCAGCCTCCTTCTGTAAACAGCCCACTCACTTCTTTCCCTGTGGGTACCCATACCTCTGCAAAGTGTCTCTGTTTCCCAGCGACCACTTCATTTTTACTTTTGCTTCTATTTATAATAACCTCCAGATAGGTATTCCTGAATCTTTTCTGCCCTCATTCTTACCTAACCAGGCGTTGCTCTGCTCTCTCTTACTAGTCTACGTCCATGAATATTTCCATGCTTCCCACCCCCGCTAATGTCATATCATACCTTCTGAGAATTAGCATCATGTGGAGAGGAACACAATCTTGGTACAAAAAAATATAATTCTGATTCTTCCTAGTGAAAAACTTCCTTGGAGTTTTTGTTGTCTTATCCCCTAGACTGGAAGCTCCTTGAAGTATAAAGGCTGCATCTTGTTCATTTTAATAACCCTGTGATGCCTGCAACTTATTTTATTTATGACGTGTGCTTAATAAACACTTGCTGAACTAAATTGGAATTTTAATCTCAAAACTTCCCAAGTCTGTTAGAAATATAATGTTACTAGTTGCTCCTGGGAGATGGTGAAGAGAGCTCTGAGAGAGGTGGGGGGAAAGACATGGACCTTTGGGTAAACCACAGAGCACTTTCCAGAGCTCATGCCTTTAATACTCAGGTGGAAAAGCCTGCGGAGGTAGGTCTTACCCCTAAAATCTCTTCTCTTTGACTAATGTTAGTTCATTGCTGAAGAAATGATGGGTGGTTGCTGTTCTTTTCTGTGTTTATCCTCATTTTATTTCCACTGGACTGTCATTCAGATATGAAGCATGTGAAATACCCACAATGATTCTGCACTCTTTTTTAGAAGGGATGGTCAGTATTATATGTTATTAGTAACACAAAGTATCTTCATAGGCTTATAATTCTTGGTAAGGGAAAATCTCACACATGACAGACAGTTAACTAGTTTCAGGCCTGCATCTGGTGATGTCTCATTCGGCGACAGATAATGAATCATCACCACTACTTCCTATTTTGAATGATGTTTTTCTCTCTCAAACTACTCCATGGAAGACACCTCAGTGTCATCTAGAGCAGTGGTCGCCAACCGGTGGTCCACGGACTACGGGTGGTTCGTGAGGTCCAAAAGGTTGGCCACCGCTGATCTAGAGGCATGCAAAACTTTAAGAAAATTTGTCACAGCAAGCAAACAGTTTTGGGCTTAATGCAGTGTTAATTCTTTAACCTCTGCTATGAAATCTGCAGGTGCTATTCAGAAGTCAAGCTGCGTAATTAGTAGACACACAGAGGATTGGTCTTACTGCCCTGGAGTAATGCAAAAGCCAACTAAACTATAGAATGTCCTTACTTTGGGCTAGACTGGCTCATGTTAGCTTATGGATCTAACACTGGTTCTGTACATTTTAAATAGGAAAATTGATTATTGAGAAATGAAAGTTCCTTAGTAATATGTCAAGAAGGGGGTCTTTTCCTCTGAAATTTCTCCAGACAAAAAAAAATAACTGGAGCAACTGGCCAAACTATTTTCCAGAGGGCTCTGCTGAGTGAGGAGGGCCAGGGGCCAGGGTTGAGGTGTGAGAGTGCTGTGGCAGGGAGGGGACACGAGGGTTTTGAGTATCTGCTCTGAAGCCTTAGGAGCAATGGACGGGGGCGGGAGAGAAACTTTAAGATGTTCTGGTTCAACTCATGCACGATCTCTTCAAGAAAACACAGTGAAGATGTGTGTCATTTAGCAAGATTTTCTGGAACTACATGCGCATTTTATTTGATTCCTCGATAGGCATATTAGATCGCAGGGTGACCCAGCTATGTTAGGGTTACAGTAGAAAAGACTCTTACAGCTCGCATTGTAGGAGGAACAAGAGTAATAAACAAAAAGAACCTTGATGGAAGGGTTGAGAGCCATGCCATTCAGAGCCAAGATTCAGTGCAAAAGGGAAGAAAATTAGTAATTAGACAAAAAGCAAAATCACAGGCTTGAGAATGTCTGTTACTTTTGTTTTGTTTTGCTTGAGTGAGGTACGAAGCTGGATTTTGAGGAACTTTTCATTCAACAGCATTTGTACATAAAGTATTTCTAAGAAAAAGAACACCATTAGTTTATGTGAGCTTGTTGGGTGTTGACAGAACTGCACTCCACAGTTTTAGTTGTCTTTCTACTCTTTGTCTCACCTCATAACAAACACCTTTGGCCCCTCGTGTCAAATTTAAGAGGCATAACTTGAACAAAGAATGAATATCTCTTTGTCATTAGCGTCATGATCACCCTTTCTTCCGCAGTTATGCCGATGAACTACTCTCCTTCAAACTGGACGTTTTGTCCCAAGGGCAAGAGACCTTAAGCTGGAACGAAATTCAGAATTGTATTGATATGGTTAATATTCAAATTCAAGAAGAAAATGACAGTAAGTACGGAATACTTTTTTTTCCCTCTAGTATAGTGGGAGAATAAGGTGTCCCGATAACTTCTCTAGACTAGGGCTACTAATTTTGCTCATGGAGCCTTATGAAAGCACATTCCTCTAACATGTATGTATGTATGTATGTATGTATGTATGTATATGTAAGTTGAATGCTTGTACTGCTGTAACAACATATTATAACAATACAAAAATACATAAAAAGACGTAAAAGAACAGACGAAAAATACATAGAAGGGGGGTGTGAAGAGAGCAGAGCGCCTGAAGAATGACTCCTCTGTGTATAACACATCCAACAGCAACTTGGGCTTCTCCTCACGGTGGCAGGAGGCTATGACCTTCCTGTGACATTACGCCCTATACATGGAAAAAAAGCAACTACAGAACATAGAGGTCCTAATAACTTTTATTTATTGGTACTTAAGAGTTGGCTACATAACTCAGTTTTTTGGGCACTCAGCTTTATTTTGACTTTTCATTTGGATATTTTCCTGAAATATGGCACACATTCCTGCCCTAGGAAGAAATTGGAACATAATCTAACTGTCGCCTTATAATCAGAAGTCATGGTGATTTGTTTTGTTGAGAACTATGAGCATGAAAGTGGGCAGTCCCAAGAGGATATGTCCTGAAACATGCTTTCTTGGGTGCCAGCTGCTTCCTTATCACTTGTCTTTTGCATATAAAAACGGTGAGGATGGGGAGCTGTGAAACTTTAGCAATCAGTTATTCACTACTTTCTGTAGCATGAATTACCAAATTTAAGCTTTAAGCAGTTTTTTTCCATCACAAAAAACAGCAGCCCTGGCTCAGTTGATTGAGTATCGTCCTGTGCACCAAGAAGTTGCTAGTGCAATTCCTCATCCGGCACATGCCCAGTTTGGGGCTTGATGCCTGGTAGGGGTGTGCAGGAAGCAGCCAGTCCATGTTTCGCCCTCACATGGATGTTTCTCGCTCTCCCTCTCCATCCCTCTACGAAATTAATAGAATTATATTTTTAAAACAAACAAAAGAAAACCCTGGTGTTTGTGCCTGTGACAAAGCTAGTGCCCCAGCCCTCTGCCTTTCAGCCTTCCTCCTGGGTCCCCAGCTACAGCACTTGGGGTCTCGTGCAGCAATGGTCTGAGTGCTTTGGCTAATGCGCCCATTTGGGTAGGATGGACTCTCTTTGGGTCGGCAAAATAAAGAACCAAGTCTCATCTTTGTTTTCTAGCTTTTTCCTGATTTTTTTTCCCCACTCTTAAAATTTTTTTTATTAAATTTATTAGGGTAGCCGGTTAATAAATTATAAAGGTTTCAAGTGTACAATTCTATAATACATGATCTGCGTATTATATGTTCACTAACCAAACTCAAGGCTCCTCCCCTTACATTTCTCCCCCTTTTACCCTCTTCTACTTCCCCTCACCCCCCTTCCCCTCTGGCAATCACCACACTGTTGTCTGCGTCTATGAGGTGTTTTGGGGTGTTTGGATTTGGTTTTGTTTTTTGTTTTGTTTTGTTTTTTGCTTATTCCCTTCACCTTTTCACCCAGTCCCCTAACCCCCTCCCCTCTGACAGCTGTCAGTCAGTTCTCTGTATTTATGAGTCTGTTTCTGTTTTGTTTATTTATTTTTGTTTATTAAATTCCACACATAAGTGAGATCATATGGTATTTGTCTTTCTCTGACCTATTTCACTTAATGTAATACTCTCCAGATCCATCCATGCCGTCTTAAAAGGTAAGATTTCCTTCTTTTTTACAGCTGAATAGTATTTCATAACTTTCCCCCGATTCTTAATGACAATACCTGAAGTCCAGTTCTGCTTAGGGAATTGTGGCGTGTGTTGCTTATGCAAGGGGAGGTGTGTGAGTTCTCAGTGCTGAACAATTGTAGTTTTACTCTCATTCTTGACCTTGATTTTACAAAGGGGAGGGAACGCCATTTTTGTCCCAGAATATCTTAAGAGCCTTTGCTTTTATCAGGAAAGTGTGTGTGTGTGGGGAGTAACATATGTATAACTTTAAAAAAAAATGGGTCTTTTGTAGGTGGTTATCATTTTTGAAGAAAAACCTTTTTGGATTGGTGTGGCATTTATCTAGTTAAACTGGAGCACTGTCATTCTCCACGAGATATGCCACATGGCCACCCTCATATTTCTTCTAAACATCCTGTCATGAAGGGCACCTGCAATAACCAGCAGAGTTATTTCAGATATTCTGTGTCATATTTCCTTCCTAGGATTGGAGAGTTTAATACAGAACATTCCATTTCTTTCTTTTGGCTTGATCTGTTATTCTGCCAAAATGAGGTATTTTTAAAGTTCTTTTAAGTATTGAGCTTGAGCTGAAACCGGTTTGGCTCAGTGGTAGAGCATCGGTCTGCGGACTGAAAGGTCCCAGGTTCGATTCCAATCAAGGGCATGTATGTTGGTTGCCGGCACATCCCCTGTAGGGGGTGTGCAAGAGGCAGCTGGTTGGTTTTTCTCTTTCTAGCTCTCTCTCTCCCTTCCTCTCTGTAAAAAATCAATAAAATATATATTTAAAATAAAAAAGTATTGAGCTTGATAGCATATATTTAAGTGATTGCTTAAAAAACTAAGTTTAAGCTCTGGCCGCTTTGGCTCAGTGGATAGAGCGTTGGCCTGGGGACTGAAGAGTCCCAGGTTCGATTCCGGTCAAGGGCATGTGCCTTGGTTACGGGCACATCCCCATTTGGGAGTGTGCAGAAGGCATCTGAATCGATGTGTCTCTTTCATCACTGTTTCTAACTCCTTATCCCTCTCCTTTCCTCTCTGTAAAAAATCAATAATATATATATATTTTTTAAAAACTAAAATTTCAAAATACACCATTGTGGCAGGAATTGCACAACATAGTCATTAAATCATTTGAAAACACTGAGAATTTTTCATGGATATCTTGAGAGTGCTTTTCTCTCCCCAGTCCACCCCTGCCATGTGCTCTCAAGTCTCATCCTCTGACTGTTTTGTGATGTGGATAAGGTATGCAGCTAATGGGAAATGATAAGTGTAGAAAGCGAATTTTAATGGAGAAGCTGCTAAGTTAAGGTGACCCGACATCCTGCTTTTGACGGAACAGTCCCGATTTTTAACAATTTGCCCCATGTCCCGTGGTGTTTTAAAAAAGTCCCGATTATGGTTACCTTATGCTATATGCATTTTCTTAGACTTGGATGCTCTCTTGGTTTCTCACTAGAAAGTTCACTGTTGCCAGTAGAGTCCCAGAGGACCATTCATATCGTCTAGAGTCCAGTGTTTCCCAAACTTTTGACATATGTGTACCCCTTCTATAATTTTCATAATGCTGAGTACCCCTCATACTCATGAGAACGTAGAATTAGGCACAGCTAAGCACAGTGCAGTGCATATCCCCACCAAACTCAGGTGCAATGAGTACCCCCACCAAACTCTTCCTGTACCCCTGGGGGTATGCGTACCACACTTTGGGAAACACTGGTCTAGACAATGACGTTTTCTTCTTTGAATTGCTTTTTACATTTGGTAGGTACCATTCTTTGTAGGGTACCTCCTCTGCTGTCTCAAATACACATCCTCTAAGAGAATTTCTGCCCACTCCCTCATCCTGCCCATTCCCTCATTCTGCCCACATTCTCACCCAAGAATGTTACTGTAGTCTCACACGATGGCTTAGGGAGGTGGGCCATGAACTGAGGCTCAGCGATCTTTGTTAAAATGGGATTTCCCCTTGACTTGTAAACAGAGGAAGTGATACAGATGCACCAGGGGGCTGCTGAGTAGATCTTTTGGCTCCTATGAGGTCATTTACTATGACCTCAGCAGCTTGAGTCTTAGTAACATACCAAACAGAACTTAAGCTGGTGATTTCAATCAAGTCAGCTGGAATGCACTCATCCCCAGGTGAGCAGCCAATGGGAACACACATTTCTTATAGTGTCATTCCGATTCATTTTGGATGGGGTGTTTAAAAGTATTTAGAACAGTCTACCCAAGGTAGGTGTCTAGAGAATGAAATGAATTAGTCTGTACTCTCCAGTTTATAACTACAACAGGGTAAATAATAATACCTGGCCTGGGCCAGGTGGTTCATTTGGTTGGAATGTTGTACCATAAACCAAAAGGTTGTAGGTTTGATCCCCAGTCGGACACATACAGAAGGCAATCTACTAGTCTCTCTCCTCCTCCTCTTCCCCCATCCCTCCCTCCCTTTCTAAAATATATTTTAAAAAAACATATCCTCAGGTGAGAATTTTTTTAAAATGACGGCGATACCTTGTAGGTAGGTAGTGCTTAGACTTTCCTGAGTTCTTCCATTTTGAAATAATATAACTTGCATGTTAGGAAAGTACTTTTACTTTTTCTTCAAATATATTTAAGTAAATACCATAATCAGGAATAATTTCTAATCATTTTAGATTGTCCCTTCCATCCTCCAGATAATTATTTCCATTCTTAGCAAGGTGGTATTTATGGAGTCATCTACTTGGAAGACAGTTAGCTGAGTATTTTACTTTAATTTCAAATATCTTAAGATGCAGATAAATTAATAGTACTTACTCTGTTTCATAGCATATCACATTTTTACAGTGAATTGTGATTGTTTTGGATGAAAGATAAGTGACAAAATAAGAAGAAGTTTGGCTTTAAGAATGTTTATTTTCTAAGCTTGCTACTTGTTCATGTTTAAGTTTTGTAGTGGTTCTTGTCCATCAGCACTAAGCTGGGAAGCAGAAGCCCACCGTTAGTGTATACATATGTGTGTACAATGTTTGTATACATATATTCACATTTATATACATATTTTTATATAAACTATAGTTTTTTATGACTGGTTGACAGTTTATTTTTAATAATAAGGCAGTATTGAGAAGTGACCTCCAGATGGATCCCTTTTGCTACTTTTAATAACTCTCCAGATTCCATAGCTTGGTTTCTGTGCTTTCCATTCCTGGACCTTATAGTCTATGTCCCAAGATCTTATGCTATCGTAGAGATGGTGGATCATTAAACTGATGGAATGCTTATTCTTCCCTTGGTACCTCCGAGACTTAGGGCTCCAGGTGTTATCTTACCAGGTGGTATTACTGAAACAATGGCATTCAGTAGCCATGCTTGAACCTTAGCCATATCCCCAAACATGCATGAATCTGGAGCTTTCCTATACTTCTAAGAAAGTATGGGTATCTTATCTAAAATAAAATTTCAAATTATGTTTTTCACTTATACTAATCCCATTTTAATGGCTTAACAGTTATATGTGGGTAATGGCTACTATGTTGAAAAGCCCAGATACAGAACATTCCCATTGTCACACGACATGCCATTGAGCATCTTGGAGACTATATTGACCTGGAAATTCACTCTATTCACACTATAGGGAATT